TTAGGCGATTAGTGAAAATTTGTCCAACAACTTATAATGATGTAAAAGGAATCAATATTTATTATTTCGATCAGTTTTCGATGGATTTCAAGGGTGTCGTTACAGGCGTTTATTGAGCATATTGTGAATGGCATGTCCAGTGTGTATTATTAGAGCTAACTAACTCACAAGCGAAAAGCTTTATTTTAATCAATAAAGATCAATAAAAACTGCTTCAGATCATTGTAACACTGACCTGAATAAAGCCGAACTGGATTTCGGAATTGGTGGTTGGGAGTGTCATTTTCATTGTGTAAGTAAACAGAACACGTCCGCTTTGTGCATTTGTATGTTGGCCAGCTGTTACTAGTCCCCACGAGCCCCACATAAACCCTTGAACACGATTACACTTAAGTATTATATGTTCATCCAATTCGATCGGAGGGTCGTTCTCTATGCGGATTTTATCATCCCAACGGACTTGAATAATACATTCTACTGAGCCATTTTGGTGATCATCTACTGACAATTTATGCCGGCTTATTCTAATTTTGCTGTTTTATCGTTGTAGTGTGAACTACTGCATTGGATCGACATTTTGGACCTGTTCGACGGGTATCTTGCAGAGGCATGCGGGGCTTCTACAGCACAAACTGGAGGGGCACAGAGCTCAGGCGATCTTAGCACCTCCTTAGACTGCATGGCCGCTACGGATGGAGATCATTCATCCGAGTGGGTCTTACCGTGCGACGCACCAGAGAACGAAGGTCGCCGAAGGCTTCTAATTGCTATTCTACAGTTTACTGGTGAGCATAATATAGATAGATGCATGAAAAAACAAAAATGCTTGTTGCAATGAGTGATCATATAGGTTTGAACGTTTATCTCAAGTAAAATTCAATTTCATTCAATTCTAGTTACCTTTTGTAGTAGAAAAGTTTGGACTTTGCGCTGAAACGTAACGTTATTAGTGCTTTCTTTTCATTGGATATTTGTCATTATTTCGTAGTTATCCCATCATTACAGGAGTCATTGTGTAGCGTTTGATTAACAAGAGATTTTTTTGGCATGTGTAGCGTTGTTAATTGAACATAGCTTCTCTCGTCATCTGTATAACTCAATGGAACATCTGACACGTTTGCTGGCATCTTCTGACATGCGAACAGTCCTCGCAGTCCTCAACTTGCTTTACGTATTCAGTAAACGCAGTAATTTTATCACGAGGTTATGCGCTCAAAGGTACGTAAGAGCAAAATGACCAGGTCTTATAGTGACTCCATTAATTTTTTGTATTAAAAACTTAAGGCTTAACGAACTATTGACTCAGTTGTCCTAATATATGAGGGCCATCTAAGATTTGCTATACGAAAAATAAATATTGAATTTTGCAGTCACACGTGTGTATATATAAGATACGTTAAAAGGTTAGGTGCGCTTTACGAATTATATCAACTTTGTAGACGTCAGCTACTACTGGATCGTCTAACGCACTTGGCGGAAAACTGGGGTGGTCGGGAAAACGGTTTCGGATTGGCTGACTGCTGTCGTCCACGAACGATAAACCAATACCCGGCCTCAGCGACAACTTTGCACTTTGAATATCAGCCAACAGCCACTGCTTCAAGTGGAAGGACATCATCCGATCATCAGCAACAAAAGACTGGCAACATTTACGTCGACGGCAGAATGTAAGTTTCTAACGAGTGGCTTTTTATGCACCTAGTGCAGCTATTAACTACTACAAAAAACTATTTGGTTTTGTTTAATTGTCGTAAACAAGCAGGTTTATTTAATGAGCCAAATTCCTTTCATTACTGTTTTTCTTAGATTGTGAAATTCGAGATAAGCGTTTTCTCTTCTTTCCTCCATCGGAATCACTGCACTGAAGCTTCGTTAGTGCAAAGTTAAGAAGATCTTTCAAGCAGTTCTAAAATATAGCTTTTGCGGTATTCTATGGGGCTTAGTGAAAAAAGTAGTAAAAACAAAAATTTAGAATGTTGGGAAGTAATTCTTTCCAACATTGTCTCCTGGACGAGTGAGAAAACATATGCTTATGCTATGGCTTGGGGAGAAACTTTTAGTCGAAATAATAAAATCTGGGGTTTTTGACTTCGCGAACTTATATTTGCGGTCCAATATGATTTACCCAATTAGACCATCAAACGTGTCCGGCCCGGCTGGTGTAATTCACGTGGAACGTGTGGATACCCTTGCGGCTTCTGCTGGTCGCATAATGGCGGATTTGATGGAGCAGCATCCAGACGTACCTGAAGGAAAACGAATGCTTTTGTTCACGCACCTTCGCCTGGCACACGCGTTTGCATCTTACCCACGCCGCTTACAGTGCGTCCAAGCCAGACTTCAAGCTCTGTCTATCCTTGTGTATTGCTCGGCTATACAGGTATGATGTTTGCATTATTTAAACTTCGATAACACTATTGCTGGCTACTATATATATATATATATATATATATCCTATAAATCCTAGCATATATATATATATATATATATATATATGCTAGGATTTATCTGCATATAATAAGATCTTTCAGAGCTTTTTGAGTTGTTTACAAAAATGAGTCCTGAATAAACTTCTAATAATTACTACACTTAAATATGCGATACAAAATGTGTAGGTTAAGTAAAATATCCCAGTTACATGATTGTTCTTTCTTAGCCATTTGGGACTACATATTTATATGAAGTGTTACGAAATGCCAAGCCAAGCATATCGCAACACTGAAGGCGAGTGGCTATTTTCTTTTTCCATTGAGTAATAACTAGTCAGTGGTAAGAAATCGTACCACATATGATGCGCACATGGGCGCGGCACAAATGCGTGCTTTCCATTTTCGTGTTCTTGAAGACTACTGAGCCAATTTTATTGATCAATTTCCTTGAAATGTATAGATATCAAATTGTAAAGTCGTTTAGATATATCTTGGATCAAACTAAACACCCGATGGACTTCGGATTTTAGGAATGGATAGATATAAAGAATGCACTATTGTGTATTCCTAACAGACCTTCGGAGCATACAGTTTTCCCACCATTTATACAAGGTTTTTACAGGAAAACGTAAACGCCTTATTGTACAACGGGCTAATAGATGAGCTGGTCGATGTCCTTGAGCTTCAACTGCCTCACAGTGCAATTCAGACAAGCCAACATCCTTCATGCCTAGCAGGCGAACACCTTCAGGCGACGTCGCAGTGTCAGGGACCGAATAGTAACATGAGTGGAAGTGGCGGTAGTTGTTGCGAAGAGGGAAGCAGCAACTGCTGCGGTAGCGATAAAATGGACGAAGGTAGTATCGAATGCACAGGGTGTGTCATAACAGGTGAAGGCGAAATAGAATCATTAATCGAAATAAAAGCTGCAGCTCTGCGCACGTTAACAGCCATCATTCATCTAGATGGTAATCCCAAACTGGCTGCAATAATTGCCACAACCGGAGCTACTTCGTACCATGGTTTCCTTCCGACGCTCGTACGCGCCTGTATTGACCGACTTACTGCAACATCATCGATGAGCTCGAACAGTGTTACGGGTACTGGCGGAGGCAGCAGCTGCAGTTCCGCGCTGCCTCATGCTGACGGAGTAAGCGCGCTTCCTATGTCAAGAAATGGTAGCGTTTTGGAAAACGGCGGGTCATTTTCGGAGGGCACCATACAAATGAATGACGAAGGAGGTATGCCAAACCTCGCATTTGCCACGGCCCTTTTCTCTTTCCTCTACCATCTGGCTAGCTATGAAAGTGGATGTGAGGCGCTAGTTTCATGTGGAATGGTCCAGTCACTTCTGGCTGTTATCGAATGGCCAGGGTGCGAGCCTGAACATGTCACGTTCGTTACGCGCGCCGTTAGAGTCATTGACCTCATTACGGGGTTAGACATGGCCGCGTTTCAGACTAACGGAGGCTTGCAGACCTTTATCCGACGACTTGAGCAAGAAGTAGACATTTGTCGACTTGACCAACCATTTGTTATACCGATGGGTTCTGATATGGACGAAGCCAATGCAGGACATCCAACGTTGTCAACACCTCGATTAGCAACAGGAGCAACAACGCCAGGACCGGCGATTGCCTCATCCTCATCAATGGCTCTTAATACAGTTGCGAACAGTCTTGAAGACAGTAGTGACAGTACAATTGGAATGGTACACTCATCAGCCGTAAATAGTACGCTTATTAGTATTCGTTCATCCCAGACACAATCCGTCAACCCCACGACTGGCAGCGCTACATTATCGACAGGCGGTGGAGGGGGTGTCTCCGGGGCGCCTTATACTACTGGCCAGATTCAGTGTTTTCCTCAACGAGCCGCGCTTCTCAAGAGTATGCTGAATTTTCTAAAGAAGGTGCGTATTTTGCTTACTTGAAGACCACTGATAGTGACTGATACGCCATTAAAGTCACTTTTTTGTGCTGTATGGGCTGAGAAGCATGTTATGCTGTACTTGAGTATGTCGTTATATGTAGAACTTAAAGCAACGTGCTTTTTGTTATTGTTAAGAATCTTTCATTAAATATATAGTAAACTTCGATACCTTAGAAACGCTTTAAAAATAAAAACTGCATACACTGTTGCGTATCATATTATACCACGTCATTCTGTGGGCTTCTAATGCTTTTATATGCTGGATGTATGGATTTAGTATTTGTTAGTTTAGATTTTTTTTTATTTAGCTTAGATTATAGTAGCGTTATCACTTTTAATGATGGAAACGCTAAAATGATTTTACTAATCTCTGCGTATGTCGAAATTTAATTTCGACATAGTTATACATCCGCTTGCCACATAAGCTGTGCTACTTTTTACTTTTTCAGTATTTCACTATGTCAGTGTTTAACTAACAGAATGTGAACAGTTGAATTTCTATTTTGCATTTTAAGTTAAACCTTCAGTTACATATACATTCCTTCTCTATTTTGAATATATTAATAAAAGTATGTAGGTGTGTTCTTTACCATAAACAAACCGGTTGAATAATTGGAAATCAGTTTCCAAACATCTTAGCTTATAATTCATTTCGAATCAGGAAGGAAGGAAAAGTGGCCGTAAAATATATGGAAGCTTGCGTTTTTATGATTCCAGGTAAAACTATTGCTGTATTACATTTTTCACAAAGTTTTACTGCAATGAAGTAAATTGTTTTTTTGTTATATTACAATCTTACCATTTCTCATTCTGTATTAAAACAGGTAATTAGCGATCAGTCTGCTGCGTCTGAGTCAAATCGGCACTTGATGGACGGGTCCTTGCCTAGGTCATTACAACACATCATTTCAAACTGCGAGTTCTATGGAGCGTCACTGTTTCTGCTCGCAACAGATGTTGTTACGGTTTATGTATTCCAGGAGCCTTCGCTTTTGAGTCCACTACAGGACAAGGGACTCACTGATGTGGTTCTTCATGCGCTTCTTACTAAAGAGGTATGAATGTTTTTACCCTTTGACATATTAAGGGGTTATTCAATTGATATTACACTAAGCAACCATACATAAAGATCCCAGTATGCGAACACCTTAAAAATAAGATAATTTTATTGTGATTTACATACTTTTTGGAAGAAAGAAACCTTTTTACCTATTTTAAATTATGGAGTCACTGGCTAAGGCACAACTAGAAATAACAAAAAGCAATTTCCTAAACGACTGAATAATCAACTGTCGCATTTGTGTGGAAAAACGCATAGCTTCTTCTTTATTAATATATTCGTATTGATTATGATCGTGCGTTTACTCTTGGAGTAGCTCAGTTATCTAAAGAAAGCATTGCGTTTGATGTCTTTGATGACAGTCTTGTTTTGAGCAAATGCTTTACAAAAAATTAAATAACAATGGCCTCTATGCGCTTGACAAAGATTGCCTCGACGTATTCTGTTGGATTGAGACGCCGAAGCTAGTGATATGAACTTTTTATGTGAGGACAGCCATTAAACATAGCTTTGCCTTTAGCACTCCGATGGTAGATTTCTTTTTGCAAGGACGGCAGCATTCCGATAGTAGAAAATCCATTTTTATTGGCGGCGGGCGGAGGGGGTTAGTGGGTGAGAGTCCCACAGTACAGGACGAAACACAATTCAGTGATGTCTGGTCTGCATAATAGGTTTGCCCTTAACCTCCAAAAAAAAAAATTCAGACGAAAACGAAAACAACAGTTTCCGTTTTCATTTTTTATTACTTAAACTTCTGAACTTTTTTAAAAAGTTCTTATTTCGACATAACGATTTTATTATGAATGTTCAACACTGGTTCGGGGAAAGGTTACCATTGCAACTGAAATGCATGCATATATCATGCAACTAGTTAGTAAAAACTGAGTTTTTGGAACAAAAAATTGTAGTTACTTTTCGCATGTATTCGATGAAGGCGATTTCAATTGAACTTTGTTTTTCATAGTACAGGTTTCTTATACTACTAGTGCTGTTTTTGATGACTCACAAACAAGACTGACAAACAAGGCCATTTTTCATCTGAAGGCGTCGAACACGAAAAACGAACAGAGCTATGTCGAATAGTAAAAAATTCGGCCTGTTTTTAAAAAGAGTCTTATTATATTTCCACGTGAATTACACCAGCCGGGCCGGACACGTTTGATGGTCTAATTGGGTAAATCATATTGGACCGCAAATATAAGTTCGCGAAGTCAAAAACCCCAGATTTTATTATTTCGACTAAAAGTTTCTCCCCAAGCCATAGCATAAGCATATGTTTTCTCACTCGTCCAGGAGACAATGTTGGAAAGAATTACTTCCCAACATTCTAAATTTTTGTTTTTACTACTTTTTTCACTAAGCCCCATAGAATACCGCAAAAGCTATATTTTAGAACTGCTTGAAAGATCTTCTTAACTTTGCACTAACGAAGCTTCAGTGCAGTGATTCCGATGGAGGAAAGAAGAGAAAACGCTTATCTCGAATTTCACAATCTAAGAAAAACAGTAATGAAAGGAATTTGGCTCATTAAATAAACCTGCTTGTTTACGACAATTAAACAAAACCAAATAGTTTTTTGTAGTAGTTAATAGCTGCACTAGGTGCATAAAAAGCCACTCGTTAGAAACTTACATTCTGCCGTCGACGTAAATGTTGCCAGTCTTTTGTTGCTGATGATCGGATGATGTCCTTCCACTTGAAGCAGTGGCTGTTGGCTGATATTCAAAGTGCAAAGTTGTCGCTGAGGCCGGGTATTGGTTTATCGTTCGTGGACGACAGCAGTCAGCCAATCCGAAACCGTTTTCCCGACCACCCCAGTTTTCCGCCAAGTGCGTTAGACGATCCAGTAGTAGCTGACGTCTACAAAGTTGATATAATTCGTAAAGCGCACCTAACCTTTTAACGTATCTTATATATACACACGTGTGACTGCAAAATTCAATATTTATTTTTCGTATAGCAAATCTTAGATGGCCCTCATATATTAGGACAACTGAGTCAATAGTTCGTTAAGCCTTAAGTTTTTAATACAAAAAATTAATGGAGTCACTATAAGACCTGGTCATTTTGCTCTTACGTACCTTTGAGCGCATAACCTCGTGATAAAATTACTGCGTTTACTGAATACGTAAAGCAAGTTGAGGACTGCGAGGACTGTTCGCATGTCAGAAGATGCCAGCAAACGTGTCAGATGTTCCATTGAGTTATACAGATGACGAGAGAAGCTATGTTCAATTAACAACGCTACACATGCCAAAAAAATCTCTTGTTAATCAAACGCTACACAATGACTCCTGTAATGATGGGATAACTACGAAATAATGACAAATATCCAATGAAAAGAAAGCACTAATAACGTTACGTTTCAGCGCAAAGTCCAAACTTTTCTACTACAAAAGGTAACTAGAATTGAATGAAATTGAATTTTACTTGAGATAAACGTTCAAACCTATATGATCACTCATTGCAACAAGCATTTTTGTTTTTTCATGCATCTATCTATATTATGCTCACCAGTAAACTGTAGAATAGCAATTAGAAGCCTTCGGCGACCTTCGTTCTCTGGTGCGTCGCACGGTAAGACCCACTCGGATGAATGATCTCCATCCGTAGCGGCCATGCAGTCTAAGGAGGTGCTAAGATCGCCTGAGCTCTGTGCCCCTCCAGTTTGTGCTGTAGAAGCCCCGCATGCCTCTGCAAGATACCCGTCGAACAGGTCCAAAATGTCGATCCAATGCAGTAGTTCACACTACAACGATAAAACAGCAAAATTAGAATAAGCCGGCATAAATTGTCAGTAGATGATCACCAAAATGGCTCAGTAGAATGTATTATTCAAGTCCGTTGGGATGATAAAATCCGCATAGAGAACGACCCTCCGATCGAATTGGATGAACATATAATACTTAAGTGTAATCGTGTTCAAGGGTTTATGTGGGGCTCGTGGGGACTAGTAACAGCTGGCCAACATACAAATGCACAAAGCGGACGTGTTCTGTTTACTTACACAATGAAAATGACACTCCCAACCACCAATTCCGAAATCCAGTTCGGCTTTATTCAGGTCAGTGTTACAATGATCTGAAGCAGTTTTTATTGATCTTTATTGATTAAAATAAAGCTTTTCGCTTGTGAGTTAGTTAGCTCTAATAATACACACTGGACATGCCATTCACAATATGCTCAATAAACGCCTGTAACGACACCCTTGAAATCCATCGAAAACTGATCGAAATAATAAATATTGATTCCTTTTACATCATTATAAGTTGTTGGACAAATTTTCACTAATCGCCTAA